TTCCAAGGCTCTGATGAAGGTGAGTCACATCTAATTTTTATTATAATGTGCAAGTTAATGCTACTTCTATCTAGGTCTATCTGCCTGCCATCAAAGGCCATGTTCCTTGAGATGTAGTTCGCACATTTAGCGCATTCCTCGACTTCTGCTATATAGTCCAGTGAGACATGATCACAGAGGATGACCTCATCCAGCTTCAAGATGTGCTTGATCAGTTTCACCAGTACCACAAAATATTCAAGACAATGGGAGTTGTACTGGGCTTCTCATTTCTGCATCAACACTCCCTAAACCACTATTCCCTCATGATCCAGCTCTATGGCGCCCTGAACAGCCTTTGTTCATCAATAACAGAGTCGAAGCACGTCAAGGCTGTTAAGGAGCCCTGGCATCACTCCAACAGATACAAAGCATTAGGCCAGATGCTCCTCACAAATCAATGCCTCAATAAAATCACTGCAGCATGAAGCAACTTTGATGCTTGTGGTATGCTTTGAGGCTCATGTATATCTAACACTTTGCAGGCACTGAGAAATCATAAGTCTTTGTTGTAATACAGGCTCTTTAAGTATTCTAACTGGTAGTACAGGTAATCACGAGTCACTGGATGACTATGATGATGGTGACAATGACAATGACAATGAAAACAATGATGTACCCCAAGCATGTCCGAACCATCTGTGTGTCAATGAACTGCAAAACCAGACTGCCAAGGGAGATGCAGCCAATGTCATTGATGGACCTACTGTCCAAGCTCATGTGGAACTTGCAGTGATGCCCGGTAAGTCTCATCTTTAGGTCACACAATTTGTTTGCTGAGGCTTCCTGGTGTTGGGTGGTGCATGTGATGTCTCTGCACTCATGCATGACCTCAAGCTTCTGAACTTCCCTACAATGATCCAACAATTTCTCCATGACCAACTTCATATCACAGACCACGAGCCCCCCAAGTTCGACCCTGCAACAGCACCAGCTTTCATGGGCAGGGTTTTGGTTTTTAGCTCAGTGGCAGCATCATTCTATGCCCCCAGTGATCTCAGTGGCACTGGGGGCATGCAGCATGAGCATAGTTGGGCAACAACTTCATGGCAAGGGGGTCCTGCTTGAAATGACTGCATCTTTGTCAGTATGAATGATGAGGTCAATTGTGGCTTGGATGGACTCACCATTGTGAGAGTATTGCACTTTCTTGGTTTCAAATACCAGACAAAATACTTGCAATGTGCAGTTGTTCACTGGTTCGCATACATCACAGACAGTTGGAATCCTGACACTGGAATGTACCTCATCACACCATTGAGCCATGATGGTGGCACACCAGACATTTCGATCATCCATATTGATTGTATTTTCTGTGCAGCTCATCTTATCCCTCTCTATGGTGCCAATTTCCTGTCTCATGAAATTGGCCCTCATGACAGCTACAACATGTTTCATGCCTTCTACATCAACAAGTATGCTGACTATCATGCATTTGAAGTAGTGTGACAGGTAAGTTTGTCATCATCTCTGTCCTCCCCTTTGCAGTGTGATCACTGACTAGGAATATCTACACCCTGCAGCATCATTACCTGGGCTGAGGTCTCCATCCATCTCTTGATGATGCCGCTAACTGTTAAGAACCATGTTGCTCAAAAGAGAGAGAGACTGACTCAGAGGGGCTTGGCCTCAGCTCATATGCTGTGCCCCTTACCCAAGTATGTGCCCTTCATTTCATATGAGGTCCAATGATGGTCCAATGAAGTCCGGAGGACTTCTGGAGGCTGGCTACTCTGGTGGAGAGTGCAGGAGGACTTCTGGAGGAGCATGGGAAATGTCTGGAGGAGCACAGGAGAGTTCCAGAGGAATGCAGGAAGTGCTCAGGAGAGTTCCCACTGCAAGGTAATACTTCTACAGGAAACAGGATGGAGTGATAGGAGGACAGGAGGACAGGAGGGCAGGAGGGCAGGAGGGCAGGATGACGGAGGACAGAAGGACAGGATGTCCAAAGGACAGGATGATAGGATGTCTGAGGGTTAGAAGGACAGAACATCCAAAGGTACGGATGCCTGGAGGTATGAGGGACAGGAGGTCTGGAGGTCTGGAAGGAATAGGGGCTACATTGGACTTTGTCCAATGTAGAGGCAAACAGAGGTAGACTACCCTCAGGTAGAGTCAGAGAGAACAGGGATTGGACCTAAGTCCAGAAAGAGGGTAAGTGTCAGAAAGGCAAAGCTCCGGCCTAGGGAATCAATCCCTAGGCCTGATGAGTAGGACAGACTTAGGTGGACCAAAGTCTGAGAGAGGATTGGGCAAGTCTAAGTTGATATTCAAACTCAGGAAACTACAGGAGTATCTACAGGGGTTATATACTGGAGAATATCTGGGGGGATCAGTAAGCAAAGGAGCAGGGCTATGTATGAGCATATGGAAACACATTAGTAAGTAAGATGGAACATAACTAAATGAACTCAGAGATGAAGACTCATACAAGGATCAATAAGCAAGACAGAAGAAGAGGTGACTGAAAGCCAGAAAGGCAGGGATGCCTAAATGGGGATAGGCGCAGGATATTGGACAGAGGGTGGGAATAGGTCCGGAGTTAATATCTGGAGGTCCAGAGATCTGGGGATCCAGAAGATGAGGTAGATACAAGACCAGAATATGAGGAGGTGGATATAGTCCAGAATCCAAGATGAGGTGAAGTCCAGATGTCTTGCTGGATGGAGTGTGCATAGGGTGGATGGGACAGGGGGGTATGGATCAGGCTAGCAGTGGAGATCCGATGGTCCGGAGCTCAGGGGTAAATCCAGAGCATAGTCAATCCTGCTGAAGTGTGGAGCACACAGCAGAAGGGGATCTGGGAATGGGTTGGATATGAAGTGGGGTCCGGACATAGGCTCGGAAGGCGTGGGAATATGATGGAACATGGGTCTGGATTGTGGGATATGACACTAACATATCCATCATTACCTGGGCCAAGGTCTCCATTCATCTCTTGATGACACCGCTAACATATCCAGGCAAGTTTGTCATCATCTCAGTTTTCCCCTTCACAGTGTGATCACTGACTTAGACTATCTACACCCTGCAGCATCATTACCTGGGCCAAGGTCTCCATCCATCTCTCGATGACACCACTAACATATCCAGAGGATTGTCCAGCCATATTGTACTAGCACCGTCATCACCCAGTATTCCAAAATACAAACCTGCACTGGTATGACCACCATTGAAACACAAAAAGTTCATATTCACTTCACCTGCTGTTTGGTGATGGTGAGCTTGATATGACCCCCCCCTCCCTCACCATTTTAACAGCATTGCCACCAGGTATGGAGGATTGTACTGCTATATCACCACCATCACCTAGTATTCCAAAACATGAACCTGCGCCAGTACAACTGCCATCGAAACACAAGAAGTTTGTGTTCACTTTGCCTGCTGTTTGGTGATGGTGAGCTTGGTTTAATGACCCCCCCCTCCCTCACCATTTTAATGGCATTGCCACCAGGTATGGAGGATTGTACTACCATATTGTTCTAGTGCCATCATCACCTGGTATCCCAAAACATGAACCTGTGCCGGTACAACCACCATTGAAACACAAGAAGTTCACTTCGCCTGCTGTTTGGTGATGGTGAGCTTGCTTTAATGACCTCCCCCTCCCTCACCATTTTAACAGCATTGCCACCAGGTATGGAGGATTGTACTGCTATATCACTGTCATCACCCAGTATTCCAGAACATGAACCTGCACCAGTACAACCACCATTGAAACACAAGTTTGTGTTTGTTTCACCCACTGTTTTTGTGATGCAGCACTGTAGTTTACCTCATGTGACTAGAGACATGCCTCCTTAATCTTACTTAGACTTAAATAAAAAATCTCTCCTTTTTTCTCCTTGTATCTGCTTATTATGAGGGATTATATGTTCTTGTATTCCTTAAGTCTCCTTGCCATGCTTAAGTCTCCTTTTCCTCCTTATGCAGTTTACTAAGTAGAATAAGGCAAAAAAAGCACTCCGACATTTTCCTGATGTGGCAGCACCATAGCATATGATCAACATTCAAAAAAGTGTATCTGAGCCTCTCTGCACACCAGAATGTCATCAAAAAAGTCCAAGGGCCCACTCAAAAAATCATCACCAACCACTTTGTCCAACAGCAAAAAGTCCCAAATTCATCCAATTGTTATTTTTATGAATGCAACTACTGTTGGGCAAGCTGATGCACTTGATTGGTGGGAAACCCTCCCAGTCAGTGCTGAGCACTGTCCATTGAAGGCATTCACAATCATAATCCACTTAATCATACCTCATGCTGCCGATGTTGAGCATTAGTATTTCTCAGGCCTGGGTGGGGTACAATCTGTGAAGTGCTGTAACCTATCAGTTCAGACTTTCGAGTCTCTTAGCAAACTCCAAACAAGCTATGCAAATTTCTTGCACAAGGTGGATCATGAAGCCAGCAAGCCAACATGTCACAAACATGCCCATATTGTTACGGCGAACCGTAAGTCAACTAGGATAGGCGCGACAACAGGTACTTGATAAGAGCACGCCTGAAGCCGGATCGTGTCCTTACAAATGTAAGGTTCTTAAGACAAGTCAGAGAGAGTGTCTCCGGCTTGAATATCGTTATCAGACGATTTAGGATTGGGGGTCCTAAACGAAGGATAGTTCAGGTAAGACCTAGTAGATTAAAGTGAAGTCTATCTAAGTACATGTCTGGGTTTATATAGGTACTGCCTACTTTAGGGCAGGTCAGTACGCGTCATCAAGATGAGTCAGAGATAAGGAAGACGTCATCAAGACGAGTCAGAGATAAGGGATACGTCATCAAGACGAGTCAGAGATAAGGGATAATGAGTCAGCTATCGACGGCATGAGGTGATCGCGCTGTAATACAAGTATAGTAATGAAATGTCAGTCTAATGATGGCACAGCTGAGTGCGGTCATGACGTAATACACAGATGATAAGAGAGAAAAGATAGGGGGCACATGTTACTGTAACACATATGCACACTCAACCAGAGTATGGACTTGACATAGCCTTAGCAAACAAACTTCAAAGGTCTTTCGCATGGGTGCCTCCACTCACTGGTGACTCTCACAACTTGGACAATGAATTTCTTGCAGGCCCAGAGTTGATAATGGATGAAGAACTGCTCAAAGAATTCAGCAGGTTTGAAAATGAGATGCTGGATTCATGCCATGGCTTGCAAGAACTTGAAGGTACTTGTGAAGTCCTAGATATTTTTGATGAAGGTGTTATTGATTGGAACAAGCTGGAGAAGGTTGATAAAGGAATCACACCTGTGGGATTTATCGAGGAAATTGATGTGGTTGGCCATGGGTCACAAGGCATGGAGGCACTGATCAGCAAAACCCTGATTTGGGTACAGCGCCACAGCCAAACAGCTTGTCACAGGTCACATAGATTTTGTTATAAAGGCTCTGCAGCACCACACAAGTATTGATTCTATGTAAAAATGAGTGTAATGTAGTCATAAACATGTATATACATAACAAGATGGTGTGCTAATAATTATGTTTTATTGAGAAATTGTGTAGTGTGCAGCACTGTACAGTGTTGTACATGGGGGGACCTCACTGTGACACTGTGATTGCTGTGCAGCGTTGTGCAGCGCTGCACATAGGGTTAGGGTTTTGCTGATGCAGTCTGGCACACCAACACACTATTGTCATCAGAGGGTGTAGCATCCATGCAATAGTGTTACTCAAAACAAATTTTGAAACTTTTGAAAACTCACTTAGATGCCGGCTAAACACTTCAAACTCCCAGCTAAAGTTTGCTCAAGAACAGTTGAATCATGCTTGGTGCACTTCAGCATGAAATCAGACATTCAAAGACTTAGGATTTTTGAAGTGTACTATGTACATATGTTTTAGAGAGTATGGGGTAACTGGGACGTAGTTCACAATGAGTCGTAGATAGGCTTAGCATTTCAAATGATGGCACTAATCGAATTATTGAAAAAAAACAAAGTCCCCACAAGAATAAAATCAGCCATACATATGGAGTGCCAGAGAGAACAAGGTAAGTACTAGAGGAAGGTGGGGGAGGAGGATAACCCTCAGGGACAAGATCTGCATGCCTCTAGGGAGATGCAAGACCAAGTGAAGGGTGAAGATGGCATGCTATTAGTAACCATCACAGCCACAGTCATGTGATAGTGCACAAGATTGCCAAGAGCCTCAAGCCAGCCGGATCGGAACAAATGAAGGGTCGGCTTCTCCAGAGGGTAGGTGAAGAAGGTGGAGGGAATGATGATAAGGTGGAGGACAGACGAGTGGCTCAAAGATGAGGCACTGCTGGTCAGGTGGAACATATGTGGGACTATAATAGATTTCCTGTAAGATAAGGGTTAGCTGCAACTTGCAATAAGAATAAAAATTACTTACCTTGGGTGGATGACACCTGGAAATTTGATGTCCTGCTCAGTGCTGTGAGTGAGCATCAAGGTTCAAGAGGGAGGTCAATGACAACGCCAACATGCTCAGTGTGAGATGAAAGTTTGGAATTTGCCGAAAATTTAAACTCTGACACAAAGTATGTCACATATACATGGAATAGATAGGAGTTTTGATCCCCCTGACCCCTGCCCCTGCTGTAACTATGCCTCATGAATCTACACATATAGAACTCCTGAATATTGTAGATCAGGCTGAACTTGCATTGGCCAAACTACAGTACCAGGACATCCTAGATGACTGGTCTGATTTCGACAGTGATTCTAGCTCTGGGGACTCACTCTCAACTACTACTTCAAATGATGATAGCACAATCAATCTGTCTTTTAGCTCCCCTTCCCCTCCCTCCCCCCTTTCCCCTATGACAGGGACTTCAGGTTCTTCTGGCAACAGCTCTATCTCCTCCAATGATGTTGCTTTGCCTTATGACTGCCTTCTTCATACCATTAATGCTCTTCATGATGAGGTTAAGAGGGCTTGTGTATTGCACAAGCCTGATGAGCCTCCTCCACGAGCACCTCAGCTTCACATGTTGGTTCATCACAAAGAACATCGCCCTCACTTATTTCAGCAGAAACTCCATGTTAACCCTGAGATCTTTGATGATATCCTTGATTATATATCTGATCATCCCATCTTCCAAAACCAATCCAACAATCCTCAGCTCCCTGTTTCCATCCAACTGGCTATTTTTTTGAATCAGGCTGGCCACTATGGCAATGTGATTACCCTTGAGGATGTTGCTCAATGGGCAGGTGTCAGTGTCAGGTCTGTAGTCAATTGCACTAATCATGTGATGATTGCAGTACTTGATGCCCATGATCAGTTTGTCTGCTTTCCAGCAGCTAACTCTGAGGACACTGACCTGGCTTGCAAATTTGCTGAGTCACATACCTGCCCAGAGTGGAAGGGTGGCTTTCTAGCCATTGATGGCTCAACTGTGGATCTTTTTACCAAACCTGGCTACTATGGTGAGACATTTTATGATAGGAAATCCAAGTACTTTCTTGGCTGTCAGGTAATTATTTTATTTTATTTTCATGTGCAAAAATTAATTTAATTCTAGGCAGTCATTTTGCCCCATAACCTTCTCATTGTGGATTATTCTCTGGGTCATCCTGGGAGTGTCCATGATGCATTTGCTTTTTGATCTACTCATCTCTATGAAGAGCATGCTGACCTTCTACCTGATGGTCATTGGGTGTGGGCTGACAGTGCATATCCATTGGAGCCATGGTGCATTGCCCCTTTTAAGAAGCCTCACAATGGGCAGTTGATAAAGAACCAGAAGTCATTTAATTATCACCTCTCTAAGGTATGTTTTTTTTGAAAGGCCATATTTTAATAAATTGATTTTATTTATTTAGATCCATGTTCATGTTGAACACACATTTGCTGTTCTAAAGGGACAATTCCAGTCCCTTCGAGAGCTCCAGTTCAGGATCCAGGCTGAGAAAGACCTTGAGTTTGCTGTACAGTGGATCAAGTGTTGCATCATCCTGCACAACATGATCATTCACTTTGAAATTGAGTGTCACAAGAAGGATGGAACATACAAGAGTTCTTGTTATGGACTAGGATAGTCGTAACAACAGCAGCTCAATAAGAGCGACAGCTGAAGTTATAAGCAAGACCTTGCACATGCAAGGGTCGTAAGACAAGTCAAAGAGAGTGTCTCTGACTCGAATATCTGGTCAGACGACTTAGGATTGGAGGTCCTAAGTGAAGGATGTTTCAGGTGAGAACCTAGTAGATTAAAGTGAAGATCTACTGAGTACATGACCAGGTATATATATAGTAAGTAAGTGCTTTAGGGCAAGCACGATGAGTGTTATGGCGAACTAGGATGGGCACGACGACAGGTACTCAATAAGAGTACACCTGAAGCTGGATCGTGTCCTTACAAATGTAAGGTTCTGTTAAGACAAGTCAGAGAGAGTGTCTCTGGCTTGAATATTGGTTATCAGACGACTTAAGATTGGGGGTCTTAAGTGAAGGATAATTCAGGTAAGACCTAGTAGATTAAAGTGAAGATCTATCTAAGTACATGACCGAATATATATAGATGTAGGTCCTTTAGGGCAGGTACGTATACGTCATCAGTCGAGTCAGAGATAAGGAGCATGAGTCATCTAGACATCATAGTCGAGTCAGAGATAAGGAGCATGAGTCATTTAGACATCATGAGTCGAGTCAGAGATAAGAGGATGAATCATCTAGCGACGGCACGTGGCGGTCATGATGTAATACAGATATAGAAGACAGTTAGTCTAATGATGGCACGACGAGGCGTGGTCACGACATAATACACAAGTATGAGGAAAAAGAGATAGGGGGTAACCACGATTGTAACATTACCCCTCGTTTACGGATGAAGTCACCGACTTCAGTCATCCTGATTAGCCCAATAAATGGGGTCTGTGTCGTAGTTGGAATAGAGCAGATCGTCCTGCTCCTCAGTGATGGAGGTCTGTGCCATTTCGGCGGCGTGAGCGATAGCGTCTTGCTCAATCTCCCATCGAGCGAGAGCATTGTAGAAACCGATGTCAGTCCATACCAAAGGAATGACCGCCTCTCCTTTCAACTCTCTACAAAAGACCGACAGGTGGCTGGGTGCGTATTCCTTGCAAACTCTACAGTAATACGCAGGGCAGTTTTTATGACAATGTCTGGCGACGTGGCAATTGTGGCATACAACATTGTTGACCGGTGACATTTTTACGACTGTGACGGAAGAGGATTGTTCTGGAGGGGACGGTGATCTTGATCATTTGAGTGATGCCTTAGTGGGGGAGATGGAGGCGGCTCGTTTAGCAGTGAGACGTGAGGATCTTCTTTTGAGTGGGAGTCGTCGTGTGGTACGCATAATGGGGTTAGGAGAAGGAGAAGCTGGTACGTTGAGTACAGCAATAGGAGGGATATTATCATCCTGATGCTCCATGGTAGTCGCAGTAGGAGCTGGCGGTGGTACCAGAATGGCGATGTGAGGGGATGGTGGTCGCACGACGGGGTTGAGGGTGATGCGCTCGGTGACGATATGGATGGCTTCTCTAATAGCATCCCTGGTTTCTTCAGGTAGGAGACATATCGCAGTATTGCGAATACGTATGTGAAGATGGCGGAAAATGGTTTGATGGCGCTCATCATCAAGGAGAGTGGCAGTACGGTCAATAAGACTGGCATCTCTAATAATCCTGATAATAAGACCACTAGATATTGCTCCCCGTTCCCCAAGGAGACAGTCAATTTCTATGGCGTACTGCTGAGAGGTGATAGCAGATTCGAACAGGGCGCTAGTTTCTACCTGGTCAATGACCGAGAAGTAGTCAGTCAGGACAGAGTCGTTGGTGAGGGTTAGGGTAGAGTTGGAGGTTGGCGGTGATGTTACGGGGGATGATGCATGCTGGGCAAGGTTGGCGGTGGTAATATTTTGATAATCAAGGAGTGTCAATGGATGAGTGTTTCCTTCAGCGACGGTGTTCATGGCAGCAGTAAGTTCTTTGATACGGAGGATACAGAGACGTAGTCGTTCGATGTGGGACATTGTTAGAAAGTTCATAGCCCATGGGCTTTCTTATAGGCGGTGAGGATGTCAGAGGCATTAGCAAGATTTCCTTCTGGAACCCACTCATTGCTGGCGGAGGAATATCCTTTCCAGGACATGAGATAGCGTCTTCATTTACCCATCCCTTTGTGCGATAAGATCGCATCAATTTCATATTCTTCTTCATTATCGATGATGTCAGGGGGTGGATCGTGGTAGTTCGGCCCGTGAACCTCTGTTTTGTGATAGGACAATAGCTCAGAAGCATGGAACATGGGGTGGACTTTCCACTGTGGAGGTAGCTGGAGCGTGAACGTGATGGGGGAGAGGATGGCAGTGATCGGGAAAGGGCCATATCGTTTGGGCGCAAGTTTCCGCGATGGTAGCTGAGTGATTAGATTCTTCCCAGATAACCAAACCTTATCTCCTACTTTCCACGGGTGGTACTTCTGTCCATGAGTTCATTCAGCCATGCGCTGCATAGTGAGGTTGTGGCACAAGAGGGCCTCTTCCCTGGATTTCTGGAGGGAGAGAAGTCTATCCTCTGCTGCAGGAATGGTAGAGTTGGGGAGAGTATGAGGGAGGGCTCGTGGTTCATAACCCATCATCAGGAAGAAAGGTGACGCATTGTGGGAGTTGTGTTTTCGGTGATTGTGCACAAATTCCGCCATCGGAAGGTGTTCAACCCAATCTTCTGGGTGATTCCAGCAATAGATTCGAAGGTACGTCTCGAGCTCTTGGTTGAGTCGTTTGGTCTGGCCATCGGTCTGAGGATGATAAGCGGTGGATGCCGCTATATCGTATTTCAGGAGCTTGGCGAGGGCTCATGAGAACTTAGATACGAATTGTGGCCTGCGATTAGAAATGACTTTTTCATGCAGGCTGAATCGTTGGTAGACGTATTTGAAGAATTTCT